TGATCTTTTTATGGAACAACTGAAACACTCCTGCCTGGTGTGACTACCTTTATTATATTAAGGGTACAGCTCTGCTGTGGCTTTGATCCAGTTGGGTAGAATGTCTTCAAGCCTCTCACTCTGAGGGCACCCAGGTTGGAGCAGTAGCCCCTGCATGCTATGCTGTTCTTTCATAAGACAACAGATACAAAGATGGTGAAGCCACTCTCCATAACTATGTTTGTTGTTGAAAATAAATGGTCTCAGGCTAAATATCATTTATTATTAGCCCTATAGTTATTATAGTGTTATTATTTAACCCACTATCACAATCAATAAGACACCTGCTAGATTTTATAATTGCCTTATTTACCTTGGGCTGGGCAGAGATTTCACCTATGAAGTCTCACATCTTTAGCCCCATCCCAGGCCACCTACCTTATCCATTCCTATCTAGGCTACCGTCCATCCATAACCCCAAAATACTTGCTTATATTTTTCATCTGTCTTTCCACACCATTCTTGGAGTCCTTTCTCTCAGCCCATGTGGTTCCTTCTCCATGCTTAACCCATCATGCCATGCTCCTTTCTCCTCTCTTCCTCTCTATCTCCAGTTCTGCATTTGAATATCTAAATATGTTGCAGGAGGTCTAGGGTTCCTTTTCGGGTACTTAGTCCTGGTGATGTAGGAATTTGGAAACAGGACTCAGAAGGAAGCTTGAGGGCCACTTAGTTTAGAGAAAGCAATGGACTTTGCACAAAGTTGCATGTAGAAGCAGAAGTCTTTAAAGTATGGACAAAAATGGCCAATTTCAGGAAAGGCATGTGTAGGATTTTGATCTATAGAAGAGATAGAAAGAAGGAAAATTGCCTGTTAGGGTTTTGTTGTTGTTATTTTTGTTTGTTTGTTTTGCTTTGTTTTGTTTTCCTTGGAACTCATGAATAGTCAGGCTTATCAGAAAAGATTGTGGATAACTGCATTATGGGAAGGACAACAGTAGGTAATGCTATGGTTACTGAGTAGATTGGAGTTTCAAGTTGCCATCCTAGACCAGAACTACAAAATCCAGATTCTATTCTTGTGAAAGGGGAAGTAGTTTTCCCTTAATGGGCCTGGGGCAAGCCCTAATACCTCCACCCTTCTTCCTTTCATACGGTAATTTGGAACTTGAGAAAGGGCTGTTGTGCCGGAGCTTGCTGGCAAAGTACAAGTCACACTGCACACAGGATTGGCTTGAGAGGGCTGTCAGTAAGACTGCAGTGTGAGTTTATTCCACAATTCCTTTTCTATAGGCAGAGCAAAAACAAGTCACATCCATACAAGAAAGAAGTTTGTGGAAACTTGTTTTCTAAAACTACTTCTCTATAACAGATATGGTCCAAGGTCACACAAAAAGGTTTTAAGGAACTTTGCAAAACTTCCTCTTTTCTATGTGTCAAGGTGAAAGCCAGGGTGAAAACATGTTTTTCCGCTGCTTTGTTAAGCAGCTTGACAAACAAGCAGCTCTCCATACTGTTGTTAATTTCCCTTCTCTGTGTGGTTTTGTCCAAGAGATTTTACTTTCTTGGTATCTAGTCTTTCTATAGTATTATCCCCAGTGAGGGGGACACATAGGCCTCTTTAGAATATATTTATTCCAGCTGGGCAGGCCAGCCACGGAGCTGGTAAGTCCCACCCTGCTCTTGCTGACATAATTGGAGCTGAGACATCTTTAAATTCATGCCAAGACTGAACTGTAATCTCATTTACCATTTGGAAGGTGTTTTCTGTCTTGTGGTTTTATTAAAAATCTTAGTAGATATTCCCAAACTGCAGAGTGCAAACCAAGGTCTAGCTACTGGAAAAGATAAGGAAACATTGTTAAAAAGACATTTCTTTTGTCACCCTGTGCAAATTTAGACTCTCTAAACAAAACTGTATTATTGTGAGAGAAGATAATGTCTTACTGAAATAAATGTCCAGAATGTTACATAGTGAAAAATAGCGTTAGCAATAAGTTTATTAAATTTTCTTTCTATACTTCAAATCTAAAGAATAAGGCTTGATGGTATAAGCCTTTAGTCCCAGGACTCAGGAGACAGAAGCAGATGGCTCTCTGAGTTCAAGGATAGCCTTGATCTATACAGAGCAAGGTCTTCAGTGAAACTTCGTCTCAGAAAATCAAAACAAGCAATAAATAGATAAATAAATAGATTAATTAATTAATTAATTAATTAATTAATTAATTAATAAAATGGGAGTCTTTGGTTGTATGGCTTTCTCGTGGAGGCTGCCCTAACAATGCTGAGCCCTAACAATGCTGCACTCAGTGTTGTTAACAGAATGAAAAAATAATAACTTTTGAGTCTGTGTTAAGAGCACTAACAAGATAATGTCTTTGAACCATGCAGCTGCTGGGGGTCATGTTGATGTTGCAGCCACCTGAGGCTATGTTGATGTCTGTGCTCAGTGCTGCTTCAAAGAGGACCATGTCCAGGTCTTGCTTCAGCTGGGGACTCTGTTGGTGTCAGTGGCCCCTGTTACTACTGAAGACCACATGAATGTCTGTGGTCCGTGCTGCCATCTGAAGTCATGTTGATGTTTGTGAGCTATGTTACCACCAGGATGCCATGGAAGTGTCCATGGCCCGTTTTGCCCTGAAGGCTGTGTTGATGTTCTTGGCCTGTGCTGTCAACCAAGGGTTATGATGGTGTACATGGCCCATGCTGTGGCAGAGACCATGTTGATGTCTGTGATCTGTACTGCCAGCAGAGACTGTGCTGATGTCTGGCACATGCTGATGCTGGAGACCCTGTGGGAGGGAGTGAGTCCATGATCCATGCTCCCACTGATGTTAAAGGACAAGGAAGCTACTTTTGCCATAGTGTCAATGACTACAGACTCAAGTTGAGAAAGAGGAACACAGAGGGCTTCTGTGACAACCCCTATCTCCACCCCCCCACACTCCCCAAAGTAAGAGCCTAGACAGGAAACCATCAAAGAGATCTCTTAAAAACTGTGATAAGGATGCTGAAGTGTAGCTTTCCACAGTTGAGGGCTTCTGGCCAGGAAGAGGGTGGGGAAGAGCTCAGTTGTTTTTTGTTGGTTTGTTTATTTTTCAAGGGGCTGCCTACTGGGAGTTTGACCATGATCCAGTGAGTATATAAGCAACACAAATTGGACTTGTAAGGTTTTGTTGTTGTTGTTTTGTTTTGTTTTTTTTCTCCTTTTTTGTTTTTGGAGGGGAGAGGATACAAGGGTGTGGATCGACCTGGGGAAATTGGGATGTGAGTGCGATAAAGGTACATGATGTGAAATTTCCAAATAATCAATAAAAATATGTTGGAAAAAAGAGCGCTAACAAGACATGTAATTGCTGGGAACACTGGCAGTTTTGTTCAGATTGGTCGCTTCCATTGAACAAGGTCTTGTTTTATTTCATCCTAAGCAAAGTCACCAAGGGAAATCAATATGCATGAACAGATTCATCACACATGAGAATAAAGTGCTGATATCCAAAGCATACAGAGTTCTCCTAAGTTTTCCTTAACAGTCCCTGTTAACTGCTGTGGAAAGTAGTTTATGCTACCTGTAACTGCTCAAAAGCTGGTTAGTCCAAACATAGAGACACTTATTATCTTGTGGCTTTTCTTTATACAGCAGAGAAAACCATTAATTTTATGTGCTGTCAGAAATGTAGAAGGGCATATATTTGAAAGTCACTTTCAAGATTTTCACAAAATGAACTTGAGAAATGTTCATTTTTATTTATTTTTTCTTGTAGAATTCAGATACTTAGAGTATGACTGTGAAAATATTTAAAAATGGATCACAGGAGCTGAAAGGCAACTGTTTCTGTCTACCTGGGAGGCTCTTCTTTCTCTTTGAGTGGAATAGCAGAGGGCACTGATGGATTGCTATAGTTACTCAGTTGCTAGGCTACAGGTGTGCTCATTTAACCTGCTTTCAGACAGTGAGGTTTCCAAAGTGTTGTGCAGAAATCTCCCTCTGTTTCCTGGAAGAGGGGAATCGCCACGTTTGATAGCAGATATGTACGGATGAGAAAAGCTAAGAAAACTTTCACTATGGAGAAGCTTCAAAAAACAAGCTGCGCTCCCTCCCCCCAACAGCTGTCTTAGTGTGCATCCAGGGTTAAGGATGGGCTCTCCAAGTTGGGGGGGGGGGCGGCGACTTTGCCTTGTTTCTATTCTCATGATTTTTTTAAAATTTGTCATTTTCTTAAACTGCTTATTTTTCTACCTTAATAAGATTTATAACATGCTTAAGAGCATCATTGTGAGTTTTGTTTGTTTTTTTGGGGGTTTTGTTTTTTGGTTTTGTGTGTGTGTGTGTGTGTGTGTGTGTGTGTGTTTTCTTGAAGGCCATACTCACATTCATCTTTCCTTTCCCCATGCCATTCATTGTGTCTATGGAACTGTCTTCAGGAAATCTAAGTTTGTTTTCACTGAGCCCTGTAAAAGGGATCCTGGAGAACCCAGAGTGGTGGTAGGTGAGGTTTACAAATGTACAGAATGTCATTCCTCACCCCACATCACCTTTGTCCGTCCTAGAGATCTTCCTGCCACTGGCTGCGTCTGGAGTACTAGAATGGGCCCCACCCACCAGCAACCTCTCTCGAAATTTTTTGTGCATGATGCAAGTTTTCATCCAATTGTGTCTCAGCTGTGTGCTGACCTTCATCCAAACTACACATTCATTCCCAGTGAACCAAATACTCGACTCATTTGCTGCAGACACTATTACAGCCACATACAAGATCAGTTTTTGAAATAAGGCGGTCCTTAAAAAACAGTCTATAGAAATACTAGGAGTATTGCAAAGGTGGTTGTCCTGGAGCTGGGCTCACCAGCATAGTAGAAGTCTCCAGTGACTACTCGCTGCCTCAAAAACCTGTGCACAGTTGGTGCTGATATCCCCAGGGCCTCCCTTCTTTGGCTTAGACACTGCTTTTCAAGTCTTTGCATAAACTCTGTCCTTTGTCCCATGGGTTCATACAGTTTTAAATGAATTTATTTTTCAGGTTTGGGATGAAAGCAGCACCAAAGTTTCACTGAAACAAGAAATAACAGAAGTGCAGCTCACAAAGACAGGTAAAACGAAATGGGTGACTCTTGGGTTGAGGCTGTCTTCAGCGTGACTGTCTTTGTCTGTCTGTCAGCAATTTGGACTTGTTCTAATAAACTTGTTCTAGAAAACAGCGCTTCTCAACCAGTGGGCCAAGACCCCTTTGGGGGTGACATATCAGATATCCTGCCTATCAGATAGTTACCTTACGGTTCATTAGAGAAGCAAAATTAGTTATGAAGCAGCAACAAAATAATTTTATGGTTGGAGTGACCACACAAGGAACTGTAATAAAGGGTTGCAATATCGGGAAGGTTGCGAACCACTGTTATAGGAGGAGAAAGGATGGAAAGAGAATATGCTTTGGCCAGAGCAGAGAGATGCCTCCTGGCTAGGAACAGCGTCTCCCCCCCTGCCACACTGTCTTCAGCTTGCACACGCCTGAGCCAGGCCACATTGACTTCTTTTTGGAAAATAATTTTTGTAATCTGTTTTAAAAGTGGGTTACCCCAGTTTTCAGTCTTCTAGTCCCCTTCCTGCTTTCATGATTTCTTGGAGACCCCCAAGAATATCTCAGCAAAGGTATTTGTCATTTATTTCATGTCTGTAGGATGTAGTGCATTTCAGGTACGATTTGAGCTTGCAGCAGAAAGTTGTAATCTAACAGTGTTCAGCCCAGCAAAAACTCTCCATGCATAGTTTTTCCTAGAGAAGAATTTCATACTTCTTATTAGTCATTCACCATCATGACAGTATTTCTGTCACATTATAAGGCTGTCCTTGTGCATTCTCTCTTTTAATAGTCCATCATTGGGTCCAGGCAACACACGTATTACTTTCACTGTCATGGTCATTGTTTTTAATTTTTGTTGTTTTGTTTTTTTTTTGAGACAAGGTCTCACTCTAGTCCTGGCTGGCCTGGAATGAGCTGTAAAACCAGACTAGCTTCAGATTTATGGAGGTATATCTGTCTCTGTCTCCCTAGTGCTGGGATTAAAGGTGTGCACTACCATGCCCAGCAATGGTCCTCATTCTATGTTAAGTTTCAGAGTCTTTCTTAGTCTCCTTGGTGACCCTCAGCCTATGTCCTTGACTTTGTCATTCCTAGTTCTTCTTTGTTGTTGTTGTTGTTCATCCACATCATCATTTTGTGGTCACTTTGCTCAGTAACTTCTTTCCTACAACTATACCTTTTGAACTTATCAGGGAGGCCCTAAGAAATCACAATTTATTTTCATCTTAATTAGGATGATTTTTAATTCTACAACCAGGATTTTTTTGGGGGAAGTGATCTCTTTTACTTACGTTTTTAGCCAACATCTTAGAATTTAAATCCAACATCTTAATTTTAATGCCAGTTTTTCACAGACGAGTCCAACTACTACTTTGTCATCAAGTATGGTTCTAATTTGTGATGCAAAAATTATTAATATAATTTTGATCGTATGATTTATATTTAACTTCAAATACGCATTCTAAGTTTGGGAAGAATGAATTGTGAAATATTTCCAATGGTTGTAATTATGGACTAGTTGACTATTCTTTAATTGTTTTACTTTGAAGACAAGTCACCGGGCAAAGCTAGAGTTGCCAACTGTGCACTTGGAGAACCTGTCCATCCATCATTTTAAGGGAAGTTGGCAGGTCCTCAGCATTTACCCACAATCTAAACCTTCCCCTGTTGCTCTGTTGTTCTTATGTGGCCTTTAGTAGCAATAAACAGTGACAGTGGGTAATTCTGTGAAACCAAAGTATCAGGATAGTCATTAACAAAGAATTGCAGAGCTAAATGGAAGAAACACAGTCAGCTAGCTCATGAGCTGCAGTTCCATACAGAAATTGTGGACTGAAAAGGCCAACCTCTCTCAAAATATAATTCTGAGTGAGCAGGTCTTCTAGAAACTGCAGACTTCTTCCTGCTCTAAATTTTACTCTCTACTGGAGACTCTGTTTTCATCCAGATGCATCAGAACTCTTTGACATTGAATCGTGTGAGAGGAAAGAAAGGTGGTCATCTTAGGGAAAACCGAAGTGAGCAGGGAGTTTGAGTGGACTGTATCAGGTATCTGGACACATGTACAAAGCATAGTGAAAAATTACAGAAGAGGTTGCAGATCTTCTTGGATTATTATTACATTCACATATTCTTCATTAAAATTATTATAAATTACCTTAAGAATATGTTATAAATTGCCTTGAAATTGGCATAATTTACAAATGGATGTTTAGTACATATTCAAATTCTACACAGGTAGCTAATGAGATAGGTTTTTTTTTATTTTTTGGTACGGTTTATAGTGTGATCATCAGAATGATTTTGTCTTCATTTTGTCTGTGTTCTTTTGAAGAAAAACAAGGGCTGTGTGATGATACTCCAGTAATGGAAAGAAAGTCTTCCGCACTTAACTTGAAAAGGTGTGTATACTATAATTATACAGATTCTAAACGAGTGTAATTAAGCTGCTGAAAAGTAATTATCAGTGCATAACTAGAAAGAAATAAAATAATAGCAACAAAGGCAATTAAGAATGACACCAAACTGTTGCACAGAAAGCAGAAAGGTTAGAAATTCTCCTTTTCTGCAAAGCTTTTGTTTCGTTTCGTGAGAATTTGGGAATAATGAAAGGGAGAAAGCTTCACTTCCTGTTCACAATAGGTAACCATCTCAAATTACTATACCTTCCGTCACCAAAGCAGTGAGAGTCACACACATACAAGGTGAGAGCATGAAATCGTGGGACTAATGCTTTCCTGCATAGCTGATTAACTTATTGTCGGACATACTTGTAATTATTACAATCCTTGCATTCTGGAATTTCCTTGATATTCTGCCATTCTGAAAATCAACTAGATATTGTAGATATACAGAGTGGGGTCACAGGGCTGTTTTCAAGAAAATGGGATCTTACGCCTCCTGCACTCATTTCAGCAGGCGTGAGGCATTCCTGTCGATCCTACATCCCTGTGCCCTTTCTACTGCAGTGCACTATTTTAAAGGCAACGGAGGTCAAGGTTACATTCCCGCCAGCAGTGGAGGAGGGTTCCCCTTTTCCACATCCTCTCCAGCATGTGTTGTCACTTGAGTTTTTGATCTTAGCCATTCTGATGGGCGTAAAGTGAAATCTCAGGGTCATTTTGGTTTGCATCTCCCTGATGACTAAGTACGTTGAGCATTTCTTTAAGTGTTTCTCTGCCATTTGATATTCCACTATTGAGAAGTCTCTGTTTAGCTCTGTACCCCATTTTTTAATTGGATTACTTGATTTGTTGCTGTTTAACTTCTTGATTTCTATATATATTCTGGATATTAACCCTCTGTCAGATACAGAGTTGGTGAAGATCCTTTCCCAGTCTGTAGGCTGTCATTTTGTTCTGGTGACAGTTTCCTTTGCTTTACAAAAGCTTTTCAGTTTCATGAGGTCCCATTTATTGATTGCTGATCTTAGAGCCTGAGTTGTTGGTGTTCTATTCAGGAAGTTGTCTCCTCTACCAACGAGTTCAAGGCTCTTCCCCACTTTTTCTTCTAACAGGTTTAGTGTGTCTGGCTTTATGTTAAGGTCTTTGATCCATTTGACAAGGAAATCATGAAATTTGCAGGCAAATGGTGGGAACTAGAAAAGATCATCATGAGTGAGGTATCCCAGAGCAGAGAGACACACATGCTAAATACTCATAAGTGAATATTAGACATACAGTATATGATAAACACACTAAAATCTGTACACCTAAAGAAACTAAGCAAGAAGCAGGACCCTGGGTAAGATGATCACTCCTCACTCAGAAAGGCAAGCAGGGTAGACATCCGAAGAGGGAGAAAACAGGGAACAGGACAGGAGCCTACCACAGTGGGCTTCTGAAAGACTCTACTCAGCAGGGTATTAAAGCAGATGTTGAGACTCATAGCCAAACTTTGGGCAGAATGCAGGGAATCTTATGAAAGAAGGAGGAGATGGAAAGACCTGGAGGAGACAGGAACTCCACAAGGAGAACAACAGAACCAAAAACATCTGAGCTCAGGTATCTCTTCTGAGACTGATACTCTAATCAAGGACCATGCATGGAGACAACCTAGAAATGGCAGCTCAGTTTCCCAGTGGGTTCCCTAGTAAGGAGAACAGGGACTGTCTCTGACATGAACTCAGTGGCTGGCTCTTTGATCACCTCCCCCTGAGGGAGGGTGCAGCCTTACTAGGCAACAGAGGAAGACAATGCAGCTAGTCCTTCTGAGACCTGATAGGCTAGGTTCAGATGGGAGGGGAGGAGGACCTCCCCTATCAGTGGAATGGGGAAGGGGTGTGGGAGGAGAAGAAGGAGGGAGGGCGAGATTGGGAGGGGATGAGGGAGGGGTCTAGCTGGGATACAAAGTGAAAAATTGTAATAAATTTTAAAAAAATTTAAAAGGCAAGGGAGATGGTAGAGCTTTCTTTTTCTGACGTCACTTCAGTGCTCATATTCAGCTCTGCCTGGCTACTCAAAACCTTTCCATAGCCCTGTTGCTTTGAAGGTGACATTTAAAAATTTTTCCATGGTACACATCACCTTTATTGTACTTCTTCTTTTAGCCTCCAGGAGGCATAGGTAGGCAGAGCTCTTGAGGTGGAAGATAGCCTGTCTCAAACAAACAAACAAACAAACAAGCAAACAAACAAACCAACAGAAACCTACTGTTGACTTAGTATAAAATGAATGTTAGAACTGTAATCTAACTAAAACTAAAACAACCTTAATGGAAGAAATACATCAATTTTGGAACTGATGGCACCTATGATAAAGATAATCATAATAACAGTAATTATTAGATACTGTTTGCTGAGCACTGAATACTTAGTACTGAACTAAACTAGTTATCAACCAATCCTTGATATACTGATGTGAGATGGGCCCAGCTATGAGTTATTTCACACAGTGCTTATGGATGCTGGGCAGGCACTGGACAGGGTCTCCAGCCTGTGAACATTTCACAGAAGAAATGCTCTTCTGGGCTCTGGACTAAAATATTTTACCCTCACTCCTAACACCGAAGAGAATTTCCAGCAACTTTAAAATGTCTTTAAAAAGGTCCTTAATAAAATTTCCATATAAAGGAGGTTATAATTAATGAGCATCCAGACATTGAGTATGTATTCCTTAACAGATGACTAAGGATTAGATTACATCATATTCTTCATCTTACGGACAGGTGAAGTAAACCAGTATAATTAATGCCAGCAAACAGTTGACAGTAGAGGCACATTTCCTGTTATGTAAACTCTTACCCAGTTTTTAAAGGCCTTCCGAATATAATGAAACAAAACTTTTCAAAGCTGAGGTTTCTAGATGTCAGTGTGAAAGGATTGCAACACATTTCTTGCTCCTTGAAAATAAAATTGCCTCTTCTGCCTTCTCCACCCATCCTAACTCTGCCCCATGTTCTCCTGCCTCATTCTCCCACCTTTGGCTTCTTTTACTGTCGTGTTGCAACCACACCCAACGTTTTGGTCGTGTGTCATAGTACACCCTTTCGTGCACCCTCACACGGACTCGTCTAGCCCAAGATCATTCCTCTTCCCTCAGATCTCCACTAGGAGTTTCTCTTACCACCTTTGACCCTTCTGTGTTTTGTTGTTCATCCTTGCAAGTGTAAAATAGACCTGAAGTCTCTTCCTGCAGAGAAGAAGTGAGTGTTATATGACTGTCGTTAAGAATAAACTGTTGCTGCCTGTGTGTGATAGTATACATCTATAATCCCAGTACTTGGGAAGTGGGCAAGAAGGGAATTCAAGGCCAACCTGGTCCAGATAAACTGTCTCAAAAACAGTCCTAAATAATCAGTGAATTATCATCAATTTTGTTTAATCAGTGCTATCCCGAAACCTTGAAGCAGTGTGTGAAAATAAATGACTACTAATATAAGACTTTTGTATGATCACACATGTGGAAACTTTGAGTGTTTCACTGGTGCCTGTTTTTTCATTTGATGTGTATTAACATTAACATTTTGTGTCAATCTTTCTGAAATGGATAGAATCTAATGTAGTTATTTTTGACATCATAAGCCCCAGCTTGCCCGGGATGCAAATGGAAGATTTAAGCTCACATTCTGAGCACAAAGTCAGCTCTGTGAATGGCGATGGCCAGCCCTCTTCTTCACAGATGCCCTCCCAAAGCTCATCTATCAAGGAAACAGCAAAGAAACTGATGTCTAACCTAAGGTAAAAATAATTACTAATTTTCCACATGTTTTGTTGAAAGTAAGCAGGGACAAACACCATTTTGTTTAATTTTGGTTTTGTACCGATTGGGGACGTTTTTGAATACATGCAGTGAAATGATTTTATGACCTATTTCCCTAACCATATTCAGTTAGATAGACCACAGTTAATAGTCCCTTGAAAGCTGCTTGTGGTCACTAACTGCCTATTGTTATATGGCCAAGCAGTATGATGGATGAAGAATACATATGATATTCTTTCCTTGAATGTAATAAAGTTTTATTGAATTTCATATTTTTTTCTATTCACAAAGAGGTGCATGACATTTTTATGGCCTTTAAATGGTCTATTTTTGTGACTTTAGATAGGAAATTTAGAGCAACTGGGTTTCACTCTTTGGTCAGTTGAATGTTGCATTTGCATTTGCAGACATGGTTTCTTGGGGGATTTAGATGTCATAAATCTTAGCTCTGAAAGGAGAGACTGGAAAGGGATGAGGATTCTGCTGGGTTTTGTCTTTGTTTGTTTGTGTGTGTGTGTGTGTGTGTATGTTTCTGAACAGAAGAAGGCTTAACTGTCAGCATTATGGAAGACTGTTTAGAAATGTGCTTTCAGAGAGCTGTCATAAGGGAGGGCAGGGCAGGGAGCAGAAGCCCCATTCACTCAGTGTGCACCATTAATTTTGCCACGTTCAAGGATATGTTGAATGAAGTATGAAGCTTTGAGCCAGGAAGAACACTAGACCTACCCTTCCTGCAGCGATAATCCTCTTAAGGCCTTGATTTTCTTAGCAACTAAATTAATTCCCTTGAAGATGAGAGTTCTCAAAGAATAGATGGTATAAGAAGAGGGAGAAGGAAGAAAAGCCAGCCATGGCCTCTGCTAAGGCCTATGTGTGGTCCCGTGTGTGAAAGGAAACAGACAGCCAATGTAGACAATTGAGCAGCTGTACAGAGCTCCTATTGAAGCATTGGGGGCTGGAGGGCTGCATTTACTTGGATGTGGAGGCTGCAGCTATCCTTCAGGAGTCATGTCTAATAGCAGTCCTGCCCCAAGAGCTTGAAGGGCATTTGGTAATGGGACAAGTAGTTGATGGAACAGTAAAACTGTTGTGCTAAGTTCCTCATCAGCTCATGCTAAGCACCCACTGTGCCTGAGTTGGCAATCCTACTGTCATCTGGGAAGGAGACAGATACAGGGAGCACTTAACTGTGTGAATTTATAAGATTGTAAGATTGTAAAGGCCACTAGCTGAGTGACTTTGGGTGGATGGAAGGATGTCAGACAGTTTCATACTGTTGTGCCTGTCAGCAGAATGTCTGAAGAATGGGTTCTTCCTATAGTTCTTCACCATTTTTCTAGAGGATCATCTATTTCTTATCCTTTGCCGTATGGTTAGGTGGCTGAAGATGTAGCCCAGTTTATTTACTGATGTTAAGATTCAGGAATATCAACTGGATGCTCAATTAATTATATTTATATTTATATATTGATGTATTATGTACACATGTATATATCTGAATTAATATGTAAATATCTTTTAAAATGTGTGGACAAGATTACCTAATCCTGTCTTGGGCCACTGCTGAAAGTAAACCCAACTTTCTTGATAATAATAGCTATCATTTTGTGCCTTTATAATATTTTAGATATCAATCCAAGAATTATTCTTAGTTAAAACCATGGCTAGGTGGATGTCTTTCTCAGCACTCCACACCAAGACTAGCAGAGACTCGCCTGAGTCTGTTGTAGCAGAGTTTTAATTCATTGTTACTGAACTTTCTTCTCCAGCTGTGTAAACATTCTTTTCAAATTCACTGTCTTTTTTTCTTTTCACTTGGTTAGTTTTTTTTTTTCTTCTTCATGTAAGTGTAACACTGGAACTATTAATTTTAATGAGTTACATGTGATCAAAAAGGAACAATTTGATTGAGTGTACCGAGACCTAAAAGTGCATCCACTTTTACTGTTCGGCACCAATGCAGTATAAAACCTTCCCAGAAACCATCTCCCTACTGAACGTGTAGACTCATGAGTTCTCAGAGTCATTATAATGAGCACTGATTCTTGCGGTGTTTCCTTGCATGTTTGCAGGCACACCTCCTTTAGGGGTCCCCATGGATTGTAGGCTGATTGTATCTGGGGTAAGGGAAAGCTGAAATTGAGGAGGCTGAGGGGGGTTAAATGTGGTAGACCCCGGGAACAAAAGAAAGCACCCTTAAAGAACAACATAGGAGAATGGGACCCATGCCAATGACTGAAGGAAATTAGGAATTCTTAAATAGTTAGAATTTGCATGTATGAATTTTTTTTCCCTTTTAGTGTTTGACTCTTGGGGGTTGTGAATTGAATTTTCAGAAAAAAGTCAGGTCTGGGTGTATGTGTTTAGAGACTGCACATGGTAGCGCCACACCCCTTTCTCTCTGGCAGTCTTGTGGAGCAGAATGCCCAAGGGAGTAGCTATTTAGGTTGAACACAGGGAGTGCATCAGAAAGAAACCCCACACATTCTTCAGATGTGCTGGCTGCAGATTTCTAGATTCCATGTTCTCCTAGAAATGAAACATGTATCATGAACACAACTTATCCCAAAAGTTCTGGTAAAATGAGGCACCTTCAGATGAGGGGACATCACTGTCTGACAAGGCTAAGATCCAGAAGTGATTTTCCTGCTGTTCTTTGAGATGTGGTCTCATTATACAGCTCAAGATGGTCTTGAACTCAGTTTTCTGCCTGTTTCCCAAGTGGTTGGTGTACAGGCCATGCCGCCACATCATCAGGCCTAGCTCCGCAGGCTCCAGTAAGGGGACTTGCTTTGGGTAGTTAAGCACCTTTGTTCTTGAGGGGAAGTGAATAAAGTCCGTAGCAGTTATTCTCCAGGAAGCTGTCAACACTGAATTCTCCTTAGAAGTAAACACTCACACAGGTGCAGGGCTTTCCTGGAATAGTTAGTTGCAGATTTCTAGGCACTGTGAATCTTTTTTTATCTTTTCAAATATTTCTCCTCTGTCTCTGCCTCTGTCTCTCTGTAGTCTTTCTGTCTCCCCAGCAGGAATGTATCTATGGGATGCATGCCTTTTGTGTGTTCTCATCTGTGTGGCACGTGGGGTGTGTGTGTGTGTGTGTGTGTGTGTGTGTGTGTGTGTGTGTGTGTGTGTGTGTGTGTGTGTGGCCTCTGGAGCACAGGCATTTAATGTGTTCAGCGTGCTCGCCTGGCAGTTATGTAGGTGCAGGGCATCCAAACACCAGTCCCCGTACTTCTGTTTTACCCATTCAGCCATCTACCAAACCCCTCCTTTCTCTTTTTCTTTTCTTTTCCCTTTCCGTTGCTACTCCTCCATTGTAATTCTCTTTTTCTTCTTTGGCTTTCCTCTCTCTTTATTCTTTTAATGTTGAAATAAGTAATAAAATGGATTTCATGGCTTACAGAAATAATATAAAAATAAAACTGTGCCCTTTATTTAGTTTACCTTAATAGCAATATGTTGAACATCTGCAGAACAGAACCACAACCAAGGTGCTAGTGTCGATACAGTCGAGACTCAGGGCATTTCCATCACTGAGGGGCTCCCTCCTGTTGCTCTTTCATAACACAGCCAAGTTCCTAGCCCTCATTTCAGTTTCCTGAAGAGCACTTTGATGTCAATGCTGGAAAAAAAAAATTTTGATAGAAACTAACTTTCATCTTTGCTGGGAAGTTAAACACATATGAGACAAACCCTGTTTGGTGGGCGGGTGCTGCCTCTGTGGTCTCGGTATGGGTCCATTTCTGTTATAATTGTCTTTTTAGGGAGATTCTTCTGTATTTTATTCCTGAGTTTCAGCTATCATCAGAATTTGAGTGCACGTCTATAGAAAAACTCATAACAAGTCCTGAGGTAAGCTGGTTATCTTGTAACTGAATGGCAGATTATCCTGAGTTTAATCTTCGGTGAAGAAAAGCCTAGAGTCTTTACACAGAAGAGGGCTTCAGAAAGCAATTAGTGACTGGAGATGGAGTTTCTTTACCAGAGATGTGAGAAATCTTCGTGATTACAGGCAGAGTAAGGTAGAAGTCTTATATATTGGGATGGTTGCTTGCAAAGACTTCCCCTTATCTTAGTTACTTTTCTGTTTCTGTGATAAGACAACTTACAGAAAAAAGGAGTTTATTTGGTGCCTACAGTTGAGAAGGTGAGTCTGCGATCATCATGGTGGGAACATGGCAGCAGGCAGGCAAATATGGTGTTAGAGCAGTTGCTGACAGATTACATTCTGATCCATAAGCGCAAGGCTGATTTTGGAAACCTCAGAGTCCACCCGAGTGACACATTTCCACCAACCAAGACACACCTTCTAATCTTTCCCTGACAGTTCTACCAACTGAGGACTAAGCATTCAAACATGAGCCTGTGGAGGCCATTCTCACTCAAACCACCACACCTCTCTCCCAGTGAGCATAGAGTTTCTGATTTTCTTCTCCAGTATCGAGATGCTGGGCTAAGGATTGCATAGATCAGCTCAGAGTACTATTCTTTGTAAACACGCCAGGAAATGATGAAGACAGTGCATTCAGCAAAGCTCCTCTTGGCAACAGTGCCACATAAGATGTGATGGAAAACTTTGGCCAGCTACTGTAGAGGGACAGTCTCATACAGGCGTTGGTTCAAATCCAGTGGAAAAGTCCCAAAGGGGCTTAGTATCCTTCAGGTGGAGGTGATGGTACATGTTGCAGGCCAGTGCAGGGAAGAGGCATCTCAGGCAGGAGTCTGAGAGGTCCCTCTCTAACACTATGGACCATACTGATTGTAGGGTTGGCAGGTGCACAAGGAAAGGCTGTAAGCGAGCAGAGCACTTATTGCTAGTAGGCCAGAGGTGCCAATGCCCAGGTGATATTGAATGACAGCTCTAACTTTCTAATCTGCAGTCATTGCTTCTGCTTTTTCACCTTATTCTCTCACTGCAGCCATCCTTTCTCATGGGCGTCTGTTGCATTACTTTTTTTTCTTAATTTTTTGTTTTTTAATATTAATTACGGTTTATTTACTTTGTATCCCAGCTGTTGCCCCCTCCCTCATTTCCTCCCAAACCTCCCCTCCCTCCCTCATCTCCTCCCTGCCCCTCTCTAAGTCTACTGATAGGGGAGGTCCTCCTCCCCTTCCATCTGACCCAATTGAGGTCCTTCCTGTTGGAGTCACCAGTGATCCCTGGGCCAAATGCGGCGGTTGTTTTCTTACCTGACTTCCCAGGTTTTCAACCTAGTTTTCTGATTCCTCCCTGAGCGTGTTCTTTGTATAGCCTCCATGACCACACATGTCTTCCTTGATTTCTTCCCTCTCCCACCCTCTTTACAGTGACTATTTTCTGTTTGGATTCTGGATGTTACCATATCTCAGGGCTTCTTCCTGGACTGTGTTGATTGCTCTGCTAAGTGTCACTTCTGGGTGATATCGCCTAGTCTCTTAACTTTCATCTGCCCAGTATGCCAGTAACAACTCGTCTCTTTCCATTCAAAGTATGCCTTCTTCACATTGCCTTTTGAATATTTGTCATTTTATTTTCCTTCACTGTGATTTGTTTTATCTGCAGATTGCTAAACAATGCGCTGTTTATTATTTATGTAGGCTACCATAGTTCTTTAAAGAAAATAAGAAAGTCAGGTAGGTCTAGTTCTCTTAATTAACTTAATTATGTTTAAAAGATCCCTAGTACCAGTGTTGGTTGGTTCCAGGCTTGTATTTTGTTGTTGTTGTTGTTTGTTTTGTTTTATGCTAGAAAGATCAATATTCTAACTGTATTCCAGACATATCACTCTCTAAAGTTAATGTCTTTTTCTGTTATTGTTTATTAAAACAGCTGGAGCGATGCCCAGAGAGCATAAATGAAAAGCTGAAAACATGTTTCAACCAGGTAAGCTTCCTTTCCATGAAGCCATTTATATTCTGAAATCTAAATGACCCTATGCTCCAAAGACGAAATAATATATGTTTTGAAATGTTAGATTTGAAAGGAAATCAAATTTTCCTGTTCTTATCAAGATGTAGATTAATTTGTAGCCCATTAGATGTCACAGAGAAACATCCTTTCGAATTTGAAAATGCAAATGTTCCCACAGCTAGAGCTTGTGAGGCACTGGTACAGGACTCTAGTTTGAACAGGAAATAGAAAGTTCTCAGTTTGTAGGAAATGTATTCTCCGAATCTTTGGAACACTAGAATAAAGCAGAAACTGTCAAGGAATCACAGCAAAGTAAACAAGCTCCCTGGGGGCTTAAGCTTCTGAAAAAAAGTCTAAGATTTGTGTACGTAACCATCGGCGAACCTCATAGCCTGTCTCCTCTTGAGCATGCTGTGTGCATACACATATGGCTGCTGCTTGCTGATGGGGAGCACTCTCAGAGACTCGTCTCAGTTTATGAAAAGCATAGGTGATCAGAGGGGATGTTACCAACACAAGCCCTGAGTCAAAGTGCTGTAGGCCAAAGCTTTAATTTACTGGGCGACTAAAGTAGCTTTTACTGTCCCAGGTTTCGCATGGAATTTCCATACCTGCTTCATTTTGGTTGACTCTCCCCACACTCTGCTCCACATCACCTCCCTTTCACCTCAGGGTTCTCCTCTTCTCTACCTCCTCCACCCAACTCCCTCTTTTCTTTTTTCCCATCTCCACAGCCCCCTTTTTAGTGTCCCCTCTTTACCCATATTTGCTCCACACATAATTTGAGAGAAGATGTTGCATTTGTCTTAATGAGCCCAAGTGGCTTCAATGTAATGCTTACTAGTTCCCACCCAGTTTCCTATAAATTTCCTAATTCCATTTGCGTTCCAGCCATATAGATTCTGCTGCGTGTGTAGGTATGTGTTTTCACTAACCACTCATCTGTTAATGGATGCCTATGCTGATTTCCATTTCCCTGCTATGGTGAAACACAGTATTCTTTAATTTAATGGAGCCATGCCCTCTCCGCTGCAGCACAGGCCCCAGCTGGTGGCACAGAGCTCTTCCTCACAGCAGATAGAATTATTGCATAATTGCACTACCTCATGCTGCCAACTGAAGCATGCTTTCGGCAAAGTCAGCTTTATACATCTTTGCATCAGTAATAATTTGAGTTCAGTGCCTTGACGTAGGAAGTTGTTAGTGTGTATCAAGCAGGGCAATGGGCAGGTAAGGCTTCTCCCACGTGGTTTTATAGAAGAGAAACTCATGAGAGCAGCTTGGTTAACATGTTGTAGGCGTGGAGGAACTCCGAACACATTATCAAAGTGGGTTTCGTCCTGTTTCTGTTCCCTCAGAATTCCTCCTGGTCCTCTTAAATGTTGCTACAGATAAGTCAAACCATTCTAAAATGGAAGAGGGCCTTGAAGGAGCAGCATGCCATCTTGGAAAACAACCCGTACCTTAAGTCCTCGAGGGGCTTTGGGGCCCTTTCAATACTTTTTACATTAGGATCTTTTTTTTTTTAATTAAAAATTTTTACATTAGTTACATTTTATTTGCTTTGCGTCCCAGCTGTAGCCCCTTCCTTCATTCCCTCCCAATCCCAGCCTCCCTCCCTTATCTCCTCCCTGCCCCTCTCTAAGTCCAGATAGCGGAGGTCCTCTTCCCCTTCTGTCTGACCCTAGCTTTGGATCTTTTTTTTTTTTTTTTTATAAAGCCCACGAGAGCAGAATTCCTTCTTTTTGTGGTCTCTGTGCTCTCGGAACATGACAGACTTGAGTTCCAATGCCACATCATCATTGTCAAGACAATCCCACCTGGCCACCTGCCAGTGCCTGTGAGGTATGATGGAGATGACTTTATACCACTAATGCGAGAACCTTCATGAGGTTTCTTCTTGATTCCAAAGCCAGGTCCTTAAACTTTCCTCACTACCCCTTCTATGATAATTACCTCCACATGCCGTGTCTTTTCCCCGTCTTCCTTTGTCTTGGAGAGTAAGTTTAAGTGTCAGAGTTAGCATGTAAAATTGCCTTGTGATATTAGAGGAAGATAATAATGTATTTAAAAATACACTGTATTCTTTAAAAAACATTCTCAGATCCAGAATATCTACATGGTTCAATATGAGAAAAGACTCAAGAGAAAAGTGCAGTCCATTATCTATGAGGCAAACAGAAGAGGAGTGCTTAATGAAGTTTTTCTGGGACAGTGTGAACTAAAGAGGAAAAAGACCGAGGAGAAACTCAGTGACCTTCGTGCAAAGCTGGCTTTGGTGCTGCAGAAACTTCAGCTGGTGAGTAACAGGCTGAGGAGCAGGGACAAGCTCTGCGGAAAGAACTGTGTCTGGATTTCTCTCCTAACGGGTGTGCTTTGCTTACCTGCCTTGGGTAAACCACCTAAGCCCGCCCTTGCTGCTAATAATGATACTAAAATCTGAAAGGGTTCAGATCTGGGCTCAAGACTGATACTGTGATAGATTTTTGGGGACAGAGGAACACAGAACAGAATGGCAGGGCTCTGAACAGAGTTAAGACCCTAAAACTGCTACAGAGAGGCAACTGCTGAGTGTTAGGAAGAAAAGAATCAGGCACATAGTTGGGGTCTCTTCTATGTCTCTGAGCAAGTGGGGTGGTGTATCACAGTAGGAGTCTTCAACCAGGCAGGGAAGGGGTTGGGGACAGGATCTGTGGACACCAAATAGCTCTTTAATAAAAACTCACTTTTCTAAGCAGGAAGACTAGGAACCTGGAATTCTGTTAGCTAGTTACAGACAATACCCCCCAGTGGAGTGCCTGTCCATCTCTGTGATGGGAGAGCCTGCTGCAGACACTGAGACCTAAGCAGCAATCTGGTCTGGCTATCCATACACAATCAGAAGTGAGTTAACCTTCAAGGCATAGATTAGAACATTTCAATTTTTCTGTACCTTTTTTCTCTAAGAAAGCACCAGAATCCCAGCTTGGGCCGTTAGTTGATGATTGTCTTAGTGCCTTTTTCTTTCGCTGTAATAAAATACTTGGACAAAGTAAGGCTAAGAAGGAAGAGTATATTTTGGTTTATGGTGCAAGATGTGGTCCATCATGAAAGTCAAGGCAAGGGAGCTTGAAGCTGGTCACTTTGCATCTTCAGTCAGGAACAGAAGGCTCTCATACTGGGAGGGTCTGACCACCTCTTTCAACACAGTCAAGATAATCTGCAAAGCATTTTATCTTTATATGTAAATGAAGATAAATTTTCTTAATCCCAGAGGGAGAACTTAAACCTAAACAAAAACAACCTGGAAAAGTCATAAATGTGAATTATTGCCAGTTTTGGGTTGTTTTTTTTTTTTTTTTTTGTGTGCTTCCATGATGAATTGAAGAAGCATTGGCCTGTCTTCTTTTATTGGCATACAGTCACTGTACACATTGATGGGTTTCACAAAAACAACAACAAAAGAAAAAAAATTCTTTCAAGGAGATCATTCCCCTTTTCCACATCCCTCCAGTCCTATAAGTGGTCCAGCTTCTAGATAGCACATAGAAATCTTAGCTATATCAAACATTTAAATACAGTAGCCAATGTTGTAAAGACTTTCTTTGGATTCTAAAAATAAATGGAGAAATAGGAGCCCAAACTGAGTTTAAGGACCTGTGGCATTTGGCCTTAGATTTAGGTCTGAGATAAATCTTCCTGAACTTAGATGGATGAGAAGGCAGGAACTGAGTGGAAAACTTGAGGCCTAGGGTGGACAGGCAAAGAGAGAGGCAAATTCCCCATTCATCACTGCAGAGTGTGGTGAACATGGGTTTGAATCCAGGCTGCCTGCGCTTCTGTCCAGGTTGTGAACACTCTGAAGTGAGAGTTCATTTTCCTTTCGTATATTCATCTTCAGCCTTATATATGCCTTCTATATCAAGTACAAAGTGAGACAGAAAATACTTCTGCTTAACTTTCAGCACGTTGCCAGAAGAGAAATCCTCTTTAATTTTGGTGATCTGGCAAGTGATTAAAAAGCTACATTACTTAAGAGCAAAAAGATAATTAATGCTAAGTAGTTTCACATCATGGTAATTGTGTTTGTGCTTCTCTGAACACCTCCACTTCGGCCAGTTCTTGAAGGAGAAAAACACTAACTCCCACCGAAGGAGAAAAACATTATTCAAATCCTTAACCACTCATAGGCATAAAATGAGATTAAATGAGAGAAAACATACGCAAAGGTTAAGAGCATTAATCAGACATGATGGAGGGTTGTTGCCACAGGAATCAGCATGATGACAGCAGGAGGCTGCCAGAATGACAGGAAAGACAGCTGAGCTTCTCCCCTGGAGTGACTGCAGCTTTTCTCTTCCAGGGTGCTCCGGAGGGGGACCTCGAGCAGATTGATGCTTACATAGAAGATTTGCTCAAAGAAGATCATCTCCCAACCACTTTAAATGGAAGGAGTCTAGAGTCAAGGCAAGCAAAAGATACAGAACAGTGAAAGGATGTCTCAAAAGGCAAAAGAGGTTTTTACCTCTTAAAACTGCTAATAAGAAAAATTGGAGATTCTTTTAGCAAACACTTCCTTCTTATAGCTATTGTAAAATTTGGTCTAACTCTTAAAATGTTATGTCTTGAAACAGGGACTGGTTCGCCATTCCTGCATGCCTTTTAAGTTGTTCTTTAACTCCTCCCATTCCATCAGAAGTAATTTCTAGCATTCTCTAGTTTCCCTCTGAGCTCTAGAGAAAAAGGAACTGTCACTTAAGCTTAACTTTTACTTTAGTTGGACCTTGATATGGTTTTTATGCTAATTTCATCATTTAGGTGGAGTAAAATAATCATTGTAAGCCTAATATGCACGTGTGTAAAAATTGTATTTTTACATTTCTGTGTGTGTAAAGACTTGTTTTACACTTTGTTCACTGGTTGCTTTGTTTGATTAGAAACGTTTGAAACTTTGGAAAGCACAACCATTAAACATTCCTTTGTGGAATTGTGTTTTAATTTATAGAGTGTACTTCCGATACAACATTTGGAATATGTGAATGGGATAGTGAAAGCCTTCATCTGCTTGTGTATTAACCTATTTGTTAAGTCTTCCTAAGAGTCTTGCTCCAACCAGTTTTCTCACTAAAATTCTACGTTGGTATATGATGAGTGATTGAGTGTATAGAAGCCATACCAGCCATTACACAGCTGAAAATATGGATCTAATAGTATCCAAAAGACACTGTTAGGTTTTCCTACTCAAGATATCTTCCAAGATTACTTTATATCATATATATTATTATATAATTTATTGTAAAGTTACTTCTACACTTTTAGAAACTATTAGTATACTTCAAAATAATTGATTTGTCTATAATTTGTTTTGATGTAAGATATAAGAAATCACACAGGCATATTTCTACTTATAGTATGTATGTTTTGAGACAATAAGGTATTTCCTCTTTAATGGTTTCTTATTATTCAGTTCTACAGAAATACTAAAACATACTTAGCCATTTTCCATCAGTGGACTTGTAAGTTTGTTCTCTGTGTGGTGATGGTTTGCCCACTGGATGCATGTATACATACCAATCAATATCCTGGAAAGTATGGTAATTTCACTCGTGTAGTTATAGCAGTTAGATATCAGAAAGTGAACTTGGTTAAAGGAGCTTATGATGTTTACTCTTCCTTGCCATCTTGACTAGGTATGAAGCCACCTAGGAAATACAGCTCTGAGTATGGCAGAGTGGATATTGCCAGAAAGGTTGAACTGCAGGGAGACCCTCCGGCTAAGGTGTGGTGGCACCATCCTAGAGTAGGGCTCCAGGTTGACTAAATCAGAAAAGAGGAAACCAGCTGAGCAAGAGCACTCATGTGTCTCTACTTCCTGACTACAGCTGTGGTTGTGACCTCAGGCTTCATGTTCCTCCAGTTATGTCTTCTCCAACATGTTCAACTGTGTCCCTCAAAACTGTGAGCCAAAACAAATCCTTCATTAAGTTAGTTTTGTCAAATATGTTGTCACGGCGATGACAAAAGTAACTAATATATCATCTAACAGTCCTGAAAATGTATTAATATATATTTCTCATTCCTATATAACATGTGAGCCCTTGTGTCTTCCCAGCTTTACCTGCATTATCAACTTGTTTCACTGATCAAATAAAATAGTTGTGTATCCTTGTACATTTAAGGTCCATATGCTGTGATACCAGTTACATATCTTCTTATGTTTTATTGATACTCAAATTTTAAAATTTGACCTTTGTATATTTTTTTTCTATTTGGTGAAAAGTATATTTCTGATTTATAAGAACAATTTTTATATGGAAAATTACCTTTTTTCTTATAGTATATTTGAGAATATTTCCATATACTCTTCAAGTTTTAAATGTTTTATTATGTTATAGGGCACCCATATGAGATTTCAATTATTTGGTCTCATATCCATTTGTTAATGGCTTTTGTAGTAATATTTAGAGAGACATTTATGATGCCAGAGTTATTTTTAACAATAACAACTTTTATAATATGGTTAATAACTATGTATATATTATTATATGTTTGATTCTCCTAGAATTTATTTTGTTATAAGATATAAGTTGGAAATCCTTTGTCTATTTCTACATAGCTAGAACCTGATCCCATTATTATATTAATCATTTCCCCGTTGATATGAAATTACACCTTTATTGTATATGAAATTGTTTTCTGTATACATCTTTAAAATGACATGAAAGGAGGACTAGTTTGGAGGAATAGTATCAGCAGAAGTGGGATGGGAGGTGATAAGATATTCACCCAGCAGATCAAAGCAGATGCAGAGCCGCACAGCCAAACTTTGGACAGAGTATTGGGATTATGGAAGAAGGGGGATATAGAAGGACCTGGAGGGGACAGGAGCCCCACAAGGGAGACTGCAGAGACTGCTGCATCAACCAAAGACAGTGCATAGAGAGGACCTAGACCCCCTGCTCAGATGTAGCCCATAGACAGCTCAGTCTCCATGTGGGTTTCCTAGTAAGGGGAGAAGAGACAGTCTCTGACAGGAACTCTGTTGCCTGCTCCTTGATCACTTCTTCCTGATGGGGGGACCTAGCCAGCCTACAGAGGAAGAGGATCTAGGCAGTCCTGATGGGGCCTGATAGGCTAGGGTCAGACAGTAGGGGAAGAGGACTTCCCCTGTCGGTGGACTAGGGGAGAGAGATAGGGGAGGAAGAAGGAGAGAGGGAGGGTGGAACCAGGAGGAGATGAGTGAAGGGGCTACAACCAGGATACCAAATGAATAAATTGTAAATAAATAAATAAATAATAAAATGATTTAAAAAACATATTTACTACCTAAATTTAATGGGGTGAGCATGATCACAAACATTTTATACGTGTGTGTGTGTGTGTGTGTGTGTGTGTGTGTATGAAGTAAAAATAAATTTAAAGCATTACAAAAAGATCTTACATTGAGCCTACTTCTAAAATTTTATTTTTTTAAAACTGTTTGTTTTCTCATGCCAGACTCAGAGTGCCATGGCAGTGTAATTAATAGTTTCATTTTACATAGTTTTGTGTATGTCTTTGTTTATTCAGTTTTCATTTCAACTTAAAATAGCTTTTTAAGTTACCGCCCACTCATAAATTTTATTTGCATTTTTTGGGTTTGTAGTGATATTACAGAAAAACATACAGTTTTAAAAATTAAGTCTTTCAAAAGATAAAATCAAGATTAATCTTTCTATGCATCTCAGCCTTGGTATGCCATAGTGTCATTTAAATTTTTCATGCAAGTATTCTGTGACTTTCTACATATATTTATTGTAGTTAGCTTTGTTCTTTAGCTAATTATAAATGATGATATTTTCTCATTCTCATATGACTGCAGTGTTTGGAGCAGAAAGAGTTCAAATTTTTGAATATTGATACTAAATAATAATGACCAGAAAAGAAAGAGTTAAATTTGTTCTGCATCGGGAAGTCATAATTATGCAAAATTTAATATGCACAATTTATAAATAATAAAATATGCATACTTTATATGAAGAAACACAATTTTAATATTGCAGGTCCTTGTATTTTTAATCTATCTAAACTTTTCTTCCACATGAAAACGAATTGGTTTCCTGTATTATCATCAAGGCACACTTTCTCTTTAATGTTAAAATTGTTGATTAATAAAAGCGAGGGATAATATGAAGTCAATCTTCTAAACCTCCTGGCAGACATTTAGGAGTTGAAGAGGGACTTAACTAGAACACACTTTCTGCTTAACTCATTGTCAGTACTGTTATCAAGACCTCACCATCTTTTTCAGGCTACCTAAGAAATCTCATCCACTCTAATGGTTTCAAGCAAAACCTCTAAGAGAATGAATTTGAAACTCTATGACTCTACTGTGCATCTGTTATTTAAATTTAATTATGGAACAGAAATACAATTGAAACAAAATTGATGGTACTTATTTTAACTACCTCCCTTTCTATCATGGCAGTTCTTCAGCTTCCAATGGATCTTGGTCTTGGGAAACCTTAGATACTAAATAGGCAGTGAGTTAGGAATAATGTAGAGTCCCAGCCTAAGCTGAGCCAGTATAGGGATGGGAAAATGAATGGAGTGAAGTTAGATGAGGGAAACTATATTTTATGATCAAAACAATTAGATTTTGATCTGGAGAATCTAGTTCTATGTATAGGTACAGGAAAATCTTTGGGACAATAGAAGAATTTGTTTCTATCGCTGAACTTTTAGATAGTTCCAGATCTAATTAGGACTTGGCTAGGACAAGATTAACTTTTAAACTGCAATGAGATAAGGTTAGCAGGCAAAGGACATATGTAGATACAACTTGATAAAGGGAGTCAGGGGCAGAGAGAAAAAATAGTGTGAAGAAGACAAGAAGATATCCCAATATGTTGTTTTATCTTCAGACAAAGTTTAGCTACAACATCTAGAATGCTACTTAATAATAATCCATTTACCTCTAGCTGTCTTCCTTCCTCATGCATAGACTTTTGATTTAATAATAGTCTGTGTATACTTTTCCATGTACAAATACCCCCACTACTCATATAAATACATGTTTACAATATTCAGGTATGAGCAGGCAGACACTTCTTACTATACAAATAAGGAAATGGTATCTGAGACTTTGAAGTGATCTTCTGTGAGGTTAGTAAGTGGTACAAAAGTCTAGAAGCCATGTATCCATAGTTGGAATTATCCTATCACTTATGAACGTCACTGAAACATTACTTAGATTCTCAAGTCTAGGTTTCCCTATATGTAAAATAGAAGTAGCATTTTCCTTTATTTTCTTTTTCTATTTATTTTTTTTTCTGTTTATTTGTTTTTCTAGACAAGGTTTCTCTGAGTATCCCTGGCTGTCCTGGACTCACTCTGTAGATCAGATTGGCCTCAAACTAATAGAGACCCATCTGACTCTGCCTCCCCAGTGCTGGGATTAAAGACTAAAGATGTGCACCACCACCGCCTGGCCAATATCGTCCTTCTCTTAGT